ACATTTGCTGTTATATTAAAGTTTTTCTTCATTACCCATTCAAGCCGTCTCCAGCCATTATAAGGCAAATTTACGTTTCACAAATACATGGTTTCGCCAGTAAAAGCATTTCTGTAATTATGGAATTTCAACAAGTACCGACGGTTGCAAACATCAATTATATATAAACAAACGTTTATAAGACAAGAAAATGGCATACTCCAAAAATGCTGTATATGTACTATTCAAAATGTGCTACAGATATAACAAAAGATGGCTAAGAAACAACTGACGGTTGTATATTTTATTTATCTTACATGTTCTGAAGCACAAACAAACTTTTATCTTGTCTCATCTGTCTTTACATAACTTACTATGAAGAGTATAAACTTCAAATGGAACATCCTAGGCAAACAACAAATAACAAACCAACTCTCATTTCACACTGCTTGACATTGATTATACATGATAACGATTTGTGACAGTACATTTTCCACTTTGTGGAGTGTCACAGGCTGAAGAGGGTGGGTCAAAACAGCATGCTAGAGGAACATCAATATATGCTTAATTGATTACATGTTTGGACATTGAGTGGGCTATTTCACATGGACAGTAGTTTCCCCCTGATGATGTGGACGACATTGTAATCTGTAAGGGTAAAGTCGCTACCAATGGCGCCACTATAAAGTCTGACATAAATTATTTGGATATCATCCATGTTCTGTCCAGCTGTTAAGGAGCCATCCTGGTTCACACAAAAGTTAACAGTTAACCAGCCGTTAATACATCAAAAGAATGCCGCTCACACTGATTGGCTGCCTCAGTCGATAGGGGGAGCACTTGAGATCAGGAGATCACGTATCACCATAGTTTCCACAAAGTGGACGTCTAGAGGACGTGGTACTAGAAGAGTTATGCTAGGGGTGGACACTTCGTGATGCCATATTTCAAAGTTGTGTCACCAGAGGGCAGAAATAGGGATCAAAGTGTAGGATAATGAGGTCATCTATGATAAACATGCAGATGGTGCGCGAGCAAAATATCACAGGTTGTTGTAGGTCAACAGATATCAACATGTCTCAACGTGTGATTATGTCATCAACTTCACAGTTTTCATTTAAATAATAATAGAAACCTTAGAATTAATATTTCATCTAATTTGCATATCGTACATTTTGCAGTTATATTAATTTATTAACTGGTCGTGTTATATATATGTAGAACACTTATTTCGATAATTACAATGTAGAACCGTTTGACTTTACGGATTAAAAATATTCTTATGCTATCACTCTATGCGTAGTAATATAGTCTTGTTGTAACTTCGCATGTTTAAATATACTCACAAATTATTAAATCTAGAAGTCCATATTTGTTTAATCTAGTCATAGTGACGCCTGTACCTTTCTACAACCTAATACTTACTGTAGGTCAAAATGCCATTCACTTAAGCAAATTTTTCAGCTTTTCTAATATAATAAACAATTTGAGACAATTAAACTGATGAGACATATAGTAACTATGACTTTTTGACGTACCACACAACTGAAAATAAATAACAAGTCTGTTTACTATATGTCATTTACATGTATAACTCTAAAGTACATTTTCTATGTAACTAAATGTATATTAAGATACTCGATTGTTTCAACAAGTGATGTGGTACTACGACACATATCACAATTCAGCGTGGTTTGACCTTTATGAAGAGAAGGTAAGCTTAAGGAATGAACTCACTGACCAATACTGAAAAGCACACAAGAATTAAAATTGCAAGAAACAGACTAACGTTTTCTATAGCCATTGCAAGATTATTTATATATGCTTGTCTTATAATTACAGCATTCACGCGAGAATTAAATGTTTTTGTAAGATTAATTCATGATGTCAGGAAAACATGTAGGTTCAAAAAGTCTCAATATAAAATGATACAAACTCTATACCTGAGCGGTTTTCACAGGTGTACTTTTCTACTTCAGAGGCAAACTGTGAATGGTGGTGTAGTTGAATGAGTGATATGTAAAGGGAGCTGAGTGACGTCATGAAGGTCAACTCGGCTTCTGGGAAGTGTTTTTGTATAGTTTTCAATGTACTGTTGTAAGTGTGTCTCATTTCTGGCGCAATATGGCCATTCTTCATCCTTTATATCATAAAAAAGCCACAATCAGTGGCCTGTGTTGTTATATATAAGTTCTTGTTTTCATTACATGATAGATTTTTGCTCAAGTAGTGGTCGTTGACACGCACGTGACTAATGAACAAAGGTCAAAGCACTGCTAAGAGAATTTTACTCTTTCGTGCCACTTCTTGGAGAGTTCCTTTGTTCTAGATTATATATATATATATACAGTCTTGTCCAAAATGTTTGTATACTGCTCTATATTGATGTTATTGTCAACATGCATAGAGTAGCCATTCAGTCAATGCCCAAGTAGTAACAGAGATAGTAGCATGAGTGGATAAATATGTACAAGTTGTTTAGAGCATTTCTTCATCATATCACACATGTGTTGTATAACAGGGTGTGCTTTTGGTGTGAACCTTTTCGAAACAGACCAACACTTTGTTCAGACAATTTCTCTATACTTGGTGTAAAGCCATGCCTCGTCTCATGCCAGAAATTAAACAGACCAACACTTTGTTCAGACAATTTCTCTATACTTGGTGTAGAGCCATGCCTCGTCATGTTCAGACAATTTCTCTATACTTGGTGTAGAGCCATGCCTCGTCTCATGCCAGAAATTAAACAGACCAACACTTTGTTCAGACAATTTCTCTATACTTGGTGTAAAGCCATGCCTCGTCTCATGCCAGAAATTAAACAGACCAACACTTTGTTCAGACAATTTCTCTATACTTGGTGTAAAGCCATGCCTCGTCTCATGCCAGAAATTAAACAGACCAACACTTTGTTCAGACAATTTCTCTATACTTGGTGTAAAGCCATGCCTCGTCTCATGCCAGAAATTAAACAGACCAACACTTTGTTCAGACAATGTCTCTATACTTGGTGTAGAGCCATGCCTAGTCACATGCCAGAAATTATAGAGCATCAAACTGTCCGACTGTTTATATATGGTAAGAAGCAAATGGACATTATCAGAACAGTAGGGTAGCTTAGTGTACTGCATCCAGAATACTGAAACATCATTGGACTACAGGAAAAGTTGTTCCAGAAAAATCTACTAATAGATGCCAAAAAACTACTGCCAGAGATAACTGTTTTTTGATCAGGTTAACACGTCAAATTCGAAAGAAGTTTTACACCACCTTAATTCACTCTAGTTTATAGCGATTTAGGCAGTTTTATAAGTACAATAAGCTTTAGTTAGGCTCAGCCAATACTGTGAAATAGTCGTTGTTAATATTCAGGCTTTTTCAAGGATGTTCTTAAAAGGGCAATTTTTATGGCCGCCATTTTGTTTCATCATGATCCTTACTATTGAGTACTACCATACTTAATGATAATATGATGTTATGTATTGTAATTATATATGTTGTGGTTAAGTTTTTTTTTTTTTGATGGTTGAAATGCTGTATTACATATTTTTATACTGGTGTGTGACAAAATTGTTTGCTATTCTAATAAATCGTTCATGATATCCATAGATCCTGTCTCATTGTGCAAATTACATATGTATATGTTTAATATAACATGCATTTCTTAGTTTGATAGAGATAAGTGTATATATATATATTCCATCTTAATAATAATGATATTATTTGATACAAAGTATGCATTTTGGACAAGACTGTATATATGTGTACGTGTTTATGTATGTAAAATTAACTTACAAACATACTTACAGTCATGGGTTATGAATGTTTACTTTGTGGTGAATATTTTCAAAATGTACAATCATGTGATTATCATCTCCATACAAAAAATTTTAGCAAGTGTCTTTTTCGTTTTGTTTATGGAGTTGTGTTTTATTCTCACATTCATTTGATTGAACATTTAGATATTCCTCAAATATTACTACACTGGGCCCTTGGAATTATACAGAATAGACATTATGCATTTCAAATGAGGATTCGTTCTGAAGATGGTGAAGACGAGGGATATTCTTCTTCTGAAGAAAATTATTTTATATAAATAGGACCATAATATCCTGAAAAAGAGAAAGCTATGCTTGTATATATTACCACTATTAATGAAAGATTTCTCGTTTCTTATACTTACAATAAATATCAGCAATAATTTATTTTCTGATATTTTAAGATTTGTATTTCTTCCTTAGCGAAACCAACTGTGTGTTAACGCGTTGATATATATGGATTTTCAAGTATCTCTAGATAAATATAAGACTGTGTCTCGTTGATGTTTTAGTAACTTTATTAAATGTTTATTTGTCTTGTTTTTCAGGTTTATCATAAAAGGTTAAATCAGACACGATTACCTAACCTTTCATTCTTTCGTCAGACTTCGAGTGTACTTGTTCAAAATCTGTTCAAAATTTGAGATTAAACACTAATTGTAACTGATATTTGATGTGCTTTGTGTAAGTGTATTACTGTAACATTGTTTCACAATCTATGTTAAAATGTTTCGTGATAAATTTAGTGTTCTTTACACATAATGTTACACAAATGTAGTAAAATATAAACAGTAACTGAGATAGTAATACGAACATAATTTACAAGAGTTGTATGAAAGCTAATCTATTTCATAACCTAAGATGTTTGTAGTATATTAGTGTATCTTGAAGTTCTGTTAATAAATGTTTCACTATATGTTATACTTTACAAGTCTTTACTTACATGTATTGAAAATAACATACTGAAACATGCCAGTTTTAAGATGTATGGGGAGGTAATGTGAGGGTCATGATCAAATGTTCAGCATGACAGGGAGAGTGAACTTAATTGCTAATTTCAAGTGTATACTTTCTAATACTAAGAAATTTGATCACTTTCAAGAACGCCCCTTATGTTTCATTTACAGTGATTTATACCATTTGACTAATGCCATGCTAGAACAAGTATATACCACAGATATTATTACATTGTCCTATAAGTCAGTATTTTATAAACTGAGATGTTTTCGTAAATGGTATATTAGTATGTCTTGAAGTTTTGTATGAAACGTGAATAATAACACAGTCCACTCATAGAAACACTATCAGTCTTTGTAAAACGTGTATATGAAAACGATAGAGTAACATGTGTGAAATGAAATATTTTTGTCAAGAACAATAAACGTCGAAGCTATATGGATAGCGAATGGTATATTTTATCCATAAAACCAAACAAACAAAACTGTAAGCTTGTACGTTAAACCACTGCATGATGTTTGTTGATTTAAATAAACGTTCCTTCCAGGACGCTAATTGTAAATGAGTTATAGAAGCAAAAACTATACTACAATACGTTAAATGTGTACTAACTCATAAAAACACAATCGGCTGTCTTGTTTAACCCGATGACTACCGGCTACTAACTTTCTTAGTAGGCAATGCAAGTCTTGCTGTATTTCATTCCAACAATAAAACTAGTGGAAGAATATTTTCGAAAATTCATAAATACTTTGACAAATGTAGGTATTTTAAGAAACATAAAGCCTATTACTTTTAATAAATTTAGCTTTTTTGCATAATGATCTTTAATATCTTGGAAAATATCGAAGTCACCACTATAAAAACATAATTCAAATTTAAAATTGATGTCAATAACTAAAATGCAAACTAAAAATTCCCACATTAACTAAATGATGATAGAATGAATAATAAATAATCAAATCCAAAACGAAATAAAATGAAACTTTTTACTTCACACTCCTTCCCCTTTAGAAAAAAAAAGAATTTCATTAATCAGTTTAAAATTTTAAGTCCTTACTTTTAACGTTATACTGACATCCTTCACAGTTTAAGTAAAGACATAGTACAAGGAGAAACCATTTTCTTATATATTCGACTTTATCTTTCGGTTCTAGTTTAGCTTAACGAAGTTAGTTATAAGACCAGTTAAATCTGCAATAATTAAATAACAAATCATGTACATGCTCTTTACCAATATTAATATCTGTACGTCACTGATATGGGAAACTGATGTCAGTCTCATAATTCATATAATTAAAAATTGATGAGATTAGCTAGAAGGTGAGTTAGCGTTGAAGTGTAAATAAAAATCCAGAGGTTAACTAAACGATAGAATGAATAATAAACGAACGGTAAAAGAAATCCATAACAGAATAAAAATAGAATATGCTATCTCACACTCCGTCCGCTTTATCGAGAGAAATATTTCTATACCAGAGAATGCTCATCGTTCTATATCGTTGCAGAAAATTGTGGCGACAGAAAACTTGGAGTGTCTTTCCCTCCCTCCCCCCTTTACAATTAGAACTTATTTCGACGTGTCCACATTTCATCCTTCGAATTAACGAGTCATCTGCTCAACCTAGATGGTTTTCAAACTCAAGCACTCCATGTAAGGTGAACCAGAGTAGGAAACTAGATAAGATCAATCTGGAGAGTTAAGAACATAAACAATGTCCTAGTATCTGTACTTAACTGAGGGGGATTCATAATGTCAGTATAACGATGGCCTTAAAAGTAAGAATACTAAAATTGGGAATTTAAAAGTAATGATTTAATATTATCATATTCTTTGTCTTATCACCTACAACCGTAGAAGAACGAACAGAACTATTTACAGATATTAAACAGACAATATCCAAAGTTTAAATGCATCGAAAGCTACAGCTAGAAGTTTACAACCGTTAGTATCTTTCGGACACAATTAAAAGTATTTAATTTATTAATGCTGTTATTAAGAATATATTCGTTATATTCTGTGTTAAATTGTCTTATTATAAAATATATTCTAGGATACAATGGACTGTCTAAACTTATTTATGTTACTCCATTTTTTTGTATATTAAAAGAAACAATTTAATGATAGAACAATTTTACTTTTCTAAAATGGAAAGATTGTGGGGGTCAAAAAAGGACGTCTTGGAAACAACTAACAATAAAGCTAATTATATAGTTTAGATGTAGTTTATGGATATTTCCATTGCCAGAACTTTGTACTAACATCTGAGAACAATATACCATAAACATCAGGATTAATATTTTTATAAATAAAAGGAATTAGAAAATACAATATGTACAAAACTACAGTGTATAAAGTTTAATAATAACCAATAACACTTACTATCTCTCGTGACACAATTTTTTGTAAATATTGATATTAACATTATTTACATACTCTTTTGCAACATTAAAATCTACAAGTTACCGATACAGGAAACTGGTGTCAGTCTCAACTTTTAAAAGCTTTAAATGACGTAGTTAAGTAGAATGCGAGGTAGCGTTTAAACGTAAAACTAAAATTTTATAGGTTAACTAAACAATAGATAGAATAATAAACGAACAGAAAACAAAAATATAACGAAATAAAAATAGGATTTGATACCTCATATTCCTCCCCCCTTTCGAAAAAAGTTATTACATTAATCACTGTTCATAAAGTCCCAATTTTCGTATTCTTACTTTTAAGAACATCATTATACTGACACCACGAATCCTGCCCAGTTTAAGTACATGTACCTTACAAAGAAAAATCGTCGTGTTCTTCTGTCTTTAAGTTCTTTATCTTCCGGCTCTGGTTAGAGGAAATGGAGTTCAAAGACCAGCTAAGCTGCAATAATTAACTAGTTAGACCAAGAGATTTAAAATCATGTGATCATCATTAAGCTGTGATTATTTAGTTTTAAATTTAAACGCTAACTCACAATCTAGTTATTCACATCAATTTTAAGTACTAGACTGACGCCACTTTTCCATAACGGTGACTTGTAGATGTTAATGTTGGTAAAGAGTATGTAAATGATCACATGATTTTAAATCTCTTCGTCTAACTAGTTAATTATTGCAGCTTAGCTGGTCTTTGAACTCCATTTCCTCTAACCAGAGCCGGAAGATAAAGAACCTAAAGACAGAAGAACACGACGATTTTTCTTTGTAAGGTATATGTACTTAAACTGGGCAGGATTCGTGGTGTCAGTATAATGATGTTCTTAAAAGTAAGAATACGAAAATTGGGACTTTATGAACAATGATTAATGTAATCACTTCCTTTTTTCGAAAGGGGAAAGGAATGTGAGGTAACAAATCCTTTTTTTTTTCGTTATGGCTTTGTTTTCTGTTCGTTTATTATTCTTTCTATTTTTTAGTTAACTATAAAATTTTAAGTTTAAACGCTACCTCGCATTCTACTTAACTACGTCATTTAAGGCTTCTAAAAGTTGTGATACTGACACCAGTTTCCTATATCGGTAACTTGCAGATTTTAATGTTGTAAAAGAGTATGTAAATAATGTTAATATCAATATCTACAATAAATTGTGTCACGAGAGATAGTAAGTGTTATTCGTTGTTATTATTATTATTAAACTTTATACACTGTAGTTTTGTACATATTGTATTTTCTAATTCTTTTTATTTATAGAAATATTAATCCTCATGTTTATGGTATATTGTTCTTATATGTTAGTACAAAGTTCTAGCAATGAAAATATCCATAAACTACATCTAAACTATATAATTAGCTTTAAGGGGTCAAAAAAGGACGTCTTGGAAACAACTAACAATATCACCTACAACCGTAGAAGAACGAACAGAACTATTTACAGATATTAAACTGACAATATCCAAAGTTGAAATACATCGGAAGCTACAACGAGAGGCTTACAACCGTTAGTATCTTTCGGACACAATTAAAGGTATTTAATTTATTAATGCTGTTATTAAGAATATATTCATTATCTTCTGTAGTAAATTGTCTTGTTCTAAAATTTATTCTAGGATGCAACGGACTGTCTAAACTTATTTAAGTTACTCTATTTTTTATATTAATCAATTTAATGGTAGAACAATTTTACTTGTCCAAATTGAAGAAAAGATGATTATTTCTATACCAGAAAATGCTCATCGTTCAATGCCGTTGAAGAAAAGTGAAGTCAGAAGGCTTGAAAAGTGCCTTCACCCTCTCCAATGAAATGAACTTCTTTTGACGTGTCCACATCTCATCCTTCGACTTAGCGAGTCATTTGTGTCATATGCCCAACCTAGATGGACTTCAAACTCAAGTACTCCCTGTATGGTGAACCAGAGCAGGAAATTAAAGATCAGTCTTTAGAGTTAAGAACATAAACAATTTGTCTTAGTATCTGTACTTAACTGTAGGGGATTCATGATGTCGGTATAAGGAGTTTAAAGTAAGGATACGAAAATTGAATTTTATAAGTAGTGATTTAATATCACTTTCTTTGTCTAAAGCGGAAGGAGTGTGAGATAGCATATTCTTTTATTATTTTGTTATGGATTTGTTTACCGTTCGTTTATTCATTCTATCGTTTAGTTAAACTCTGGATTTTTATTTACACTTAAAGCTAACTCACCTTCTAGATGATCTCATCAATTTTTAATTTGTATGAATTATTAGACTGACATCAGTTCCCCCCTATCAATGACGTGCAGGTATTAATATAGGTGAAGAGTATGTACAAGATTTGTTTATTACAGATTAACTGGTCTTAGAACTGTAACTTCGTTAAGCTGAACTAGAACCGAAAGATAAAGTCGAATATATAAAAATGGTTTCTCCTTGTACTGTATCTGTACTTAAACTGTGAAGAATATCAGTATAACGTTACAAGTAAGGTCTTAACTTTAAACTGATTAATGTAATCACTTCTTCTAAAGGGGAAAGAGTGTGAAGTAGAAAGTTTCATTTTATTTCGTTTTGGATTTTAGTTATTTCTCATTCTATCATTTAGTTAATGTGTGAATTTTTAGTTTGCATTTTTGTTATTCGCATCAATCTTAAATTTTAATTGAGACAGACAACAGTTTCTCAGAGGTGACTTATAGATGTTAATGTTGGTAATGAGTATATAAATAATTATCACATTATTTCAAATCTCTTGATCTAATTAATTGTCGCAGCTTAGCTGGTCTTTGGACTTAACTTCCCGTAACCTGAATCTGAGCAGAAGGTAGAGAAGCTAAAGATCGGAGAACACTACGCTTTTTCTTTGTAAGGTATAAGTACTTAAACTGGGCAGGATTTATGGTGTCAGTATAATGACATCATTAATAGTAAGGGAACTAAAATTGGGAATTTATATGTAGTGATTAATGTGATCACTTCGGTTTTCAAAAGGGGGAAGGAATACGAGGTAGCAAATTCTATTTTTATTTCGTTATGGTTTTGTTTTCTATTCATTTATTATTCTTTCTATTGTTTAGTTAACCTGTAACATTTGTTTTACGTCTAAACGCTACTTCGTATTCTAATCAGTTACGTCATTTAAAGTTTCTAAAAGTTGTGAGACTGACACCAGTTTCCATTACCGGTGACTTGCAGATATTAAAGTTGTAAAATTTTTAATTTAGTGTTCTGAATAAAGACTTTGTCATGAGTTTCAATGACTTTTCTCACGTGAGATGGGTATCAAATGTTGTTGTTCTTATTCGATGTTTTAAGTTTTATACACGTCTTTCTTCCGTTCCTTTTTTATTTGTTTATATAAACATTAAAACGGTTATTGATGGCATATTGTTCTTTCGTGTTAGTGGAAAGTTCTGGCCACTGGCTCATTCATACACTGTATGCAGGCTATTTGATAGTTTACAAGGGTTCAAAGAAAGACTTTTTGGAAACACAATACCAAACATTACCTAGAACCGTAGATGAACGAACAGATCTACCTGGGAATGTTGTACAGAAGGCAATATCCAACGTTGAAAAACACCGGAAGCTAAATGAGAAGCTTGTACCAGTTAGTATATTTCGGACAAAATTAAAAGTAGGTAACTCGCTACTATCGTTAAGAATACATCAAATATGTTCTGGAGTGAATCTTACTGAACTTTATTCTAAGACTGAATGAACAATTCAAAGTTACAACTTGTGTTTCTCCATTTTTATATAAATTAGGTTATATCGTGTAAACAGGACAATTTTACGTTTCTAAAATGAATTTTTTCCAGTAAAAATGTTTTAGACAGCAGAGGAAATGGTCATCGTCCTATACCGTTGCAGAAAATTTCAATGGCGTAAGAAAGCTTTCAGATTGCGCCCTCCTCCATCAAAATAAAGGACTTACTCTGGTGTGTCCACATCTCATCCTTCGACGTAACGTACTAATGAGTCATTTATGTTCTCTGCTTAACGTAAGTGGTCTTTGAACTCGAACACTTCCTGTAAAGTGAACCAGAGCAGGAAAGTAGAGAAGATGAAGATTCATGAACATGAATGATTTCTTTTTGTAAGGTATCTGTACTGAAACTGTAAAGGATTCTCGGTGTTGGTATAATGGGGCGTTAAAAGTAAGGATACGAAAATTGGGAATTTAGGAGTGATTAATGTACTCACTTCGGTTTTCGAAAGGAGTGTGAGGTAGCAAACTACTTTGTTTTGTTATGGTTTTGTTTACAGTTAATTTATTCTCTCTATCGTTTAGTTAATCTGTCAATTTTTAGTCTACACTTAAACGCTAACTCACTTCCTAGATAATCGAACCAAACGAGAGAATGAATAATATACGAATGGTTAACAAATCCAAAATTAAATAAAAATTGAACTTCCTACCTCACACTTCACTATTAGAAAAACAAAGGGATTACATTAATCACTGTTTAAAATACCTAATTTTAGTATCCTTACTTTTAACGCTCATTATAGTGACATAGTCAATCCTTAACAATTTAAATACAGATACCTTACAAGACGAAATCATTCTCTTTTCTTCTATATTCGGCTTTATCTTTAGCTTCCGGCTATAGTTCAGTTTAACGGAAGTTCTTGGGTTCCAAGACCAGCTAATCTGTGATAATTAACTAAACTAATCACATCAAGAGATCAGAATTCATGTGATAATCATGTGCACACTTTCCCAACATTAATATCTGTACGTCACCCCCTATTGAAAATCGGCTGTAGTCTGATAATTTTTTTACAATTTTAAAAATTGATGTGGTTTACTAGAATGTGAGTTAGCGTTTAAATGTAAATTAAAAATAGTCAGATTAACTAAACGATAGAAGAAATAATTGAATGGTAAACAAAAGCATAACAAAATAAAAACAAAGTTTGCTATCTCACACTCCTTCCCCTTTTCGGAAACCGAAGTGATTACATTAATCACTCCTAAACTTC